ACTTTTTAGCGCGGACCCGACGTCCATATAATTGTAAGTCAATGATAGTAAACTTGAGTATATACATATATGGTGTGAAAACACAATTCCTAAATTTTCACGAGAGAAAAAAATGGAAACTTACCTCGAATTTTTACAAGAAAACCGTTGTATTCAATAGGTGCTTTACATACTAATGATTTTTTTTTATGTTAGCTATAATTTCGTTTGTAAAAAAATAAATTTTGAAATAAACCCAGTGTCCCTGCTGTTCGACCCAAGCAAAATGAACCATAGTCGCGCGTCTGTAGCGCCTCAGTAATTTTTAGTTCACTAATAAATTGTGCAAAACTGGCGCACGTGTTATGACAGTGACGCTGCAACTACGCTTCAAATATTGTATGAACTTTAGTAATGGCGCGGCTGCAGCGCCACCGTGGTGCCATTGCAGCGTTTCTAAAGCGTCTAATTTGAAGGCATCCTATATGCGTAACCTATACTATACACATGGAAACCTACATTTGAAATAGTCTCAAAGTCTCGGTTTTCCTTAGATTTCCGATTTCGGTAGCCTTAATTCTGAATTCTGATTATCATAGTACTTAAAACATTATGAAGGACAACTTCGCCTCACTTAGTAGATAACACCCTCATTAATAACATTTTTATAACCATATTATCTGTACCTATACTGTGCATGCGTTATGGTGCCACTGAAAAAAAAAACTGTCGTGTATCTTGTGTTGTATCTTTTGTTGTAACATCAGACAGTCACATAATGAAAAAGTGCATCTACAAAAGAGTCTCTGTTTTTTATATTTGATGAATGAATGAATGAATGAATGACACCAGCCCGTTACACCAAGTACCAAGTTTATATTTTTTTAAACAACTGACCCACTTGATATTTTAAAATGTTTCCAGTAGATCAGAGGTAGGGCACAAGAGTTGTGTAGAGTGACTGTAATTTCACCAGCACCCTTACGCTGCGAAGCCGGAAAGCAGCTTGGCGGCAGAAATAGGTAAGGTGGCGGTACTTCACTGGACGCCCTGTTTCACAAGGAACTTTACTACCACTAAAACACTCAAACAAACATCTATTTATATTTACCTTCTGCAGTATTCTGTACTCAGCCATCATGAGCGTGCACCACCCGACGACACCAGATATTATCATTAAGAGCACGTATCTCATCACGCCTGGCGAGACCCAACGCCAATGTGCATGCTCCGGAACTGTAAGTGAATTTATAATTATGTAGGTATAAATATCTTTTTCTCTTTATAATATTATGTGACGGAACACATCGTGCGCCTAATGGTAAGGTACATGCATATCTATAACGGTTGCAGTGCCACTCAGAACGTTAAATCTATTATAGCTACTGCACCCGTCACCCTGAGACATAAGTCGACAAGTCCCGTGTGCCTGTAATTTCACCAGCACCCTCACCTTTCAAAACCGGCACACAGTAATGCTGACATTACCGCTTGGCTGCAAAAACAGATAAGGTGGCAGTACTACCCTCGATGAACTCTTTCACAAAGAGCTCTACTGCTACTTAATCTTTTCTCCTGTTTGAAGCCTTTCGTAGCCTGATCGCCTGAAGCCTGTAGGTCAAACCACCTACCGTCTCTCAAGCAAAGAGCGTAGGTTTGCACTTTTGAGCAAAAGTAAGAAACCCTGATTACAAGTAGCACTAGGGCTCTCCCTCCGCAGGTAGGCAAGTTAGCATGCCATGGGGATTAGCAGGATTTAAAAAATAAAATAAAATAAAGGTGAGTGCGGTGCATTTTTATGATTTATGTAAATTTTGCTGTACATTAATGCATACCATGATAACGTTTGGTCTATATGCTATTTGATAGGAGTGCAATAAATAACAGAACAGAATACTGAATTTTGTTAATAATTCTCAGCGTGGTCTGAAATTGGGAGGTGCAGGTCAAAACGGGTTAAATAGGTAAAACCTTCCCCGCGCTTATTACTTTGTATGAATGCATTCTTTTAATTTAATATAGTTATAACAGATGGTGTTTAACTTTGAAGAAAATCTCAGAAAACTTTTTGGTATATGTATTCTCTAGATAATAAATAAAGTAGACATTTCTTGTACCAAGAGAAGGAGTAGTTTGTGTCGCCACGGGCAATACAAAGTGTTACTTAGCTTCTCAATAATATGGTATATTTATTTTAAAGGCAGACAGCGGCTGTGCCACGTCTGGCTATGTAGCGCGATTCCATGGTGGTTGCCTTATAACATGCTTACAACAGAGTACCAGAACCAATTTAGAAAAGTTCAATTCCCAAGTTGATTCTTACGGGAATCGAACACGGAATTTACCGGGGTTCTACCCAAAACACCCAAACCAAAACCATTTAGAGAAGTTCAAGTAAATTGTGTTTTTATTTAGATATATTTGTTTTTCAGTATCAGTTGATTAATCTGATATTATTAGGATTTTTTAATTTCTCGAATAAACTCGAGAGAGTTTACAAATCAGGTACCTACGAGAATTCTTAAAACTAGAAAAATTAAAATATGTCGAGAAATCAGAAACCTAAGATGTAATTCGTATTATGTTGTACTTTTTTGCCCGCTTATGGTACCAGTTTTATCGACCCCCTATGGGAAAAACAGGTTTTATGCAATTTTTTCTAAAGTGACGTTGCTTAGAAATGTTGATTATATCTTTTGTTATTTATAATAATTATAGTAGCCAAAGAGCTTGTGTTATTTTGGTTATATTAACTGGTTCATTAACGGAAACTCTGGCAAACAAAGTGATGGGACGAACTAGTCGTGCGCCTGGTGGTAAGCGACACGCCTATCCATAACAGTTGCAGTGCCACTTGAGCTTTTAATCGCAAAGACTTTCGACAACGGCTTTCTGAGACATAAGTTGACAAGCCCCATGTGCCTATAATTTCACCAGCACCCTTACCCTTCAAAACCGGAACACAGTAATGCTAACATTACTGTTTGGCGGCAGAAATAGGTAAGACGGCAGTACTTCCCTGGACGAACTCTTTCACAAGGTGATCTACTGCTACTGTTTTGTAAGGTGCACCATAGTCACCCTTCAGCACCAAGCATGGTGGCAAATAATGATCAACCTTACCTGAATTGATCTCTAATGAATAAAAAATTGTATGCATACTCACTACAACAGGCGTCGGAGAAATGTGTGCACATGGTCGCCATGCTGCACTCAGTGATGTTCGCCATCACTGACTGCATTATTTCACAGGCTTGGTAGCACATGTGCTCGACCAGACCGATATGATTTAACGATCTAAAAATACAATTTAAGGGTACGCCTATATCGGTCCAACTTCACTGCGAGTAAACTTGCGCACATCATGTCCTTACGCGTTTGAATATACAGTGGAACCGGTGTGAAAAACTTATTAATAAATCAATTTTATGTACGTGGCATCGGGTAATATATGGCATTGTAGTAGCTTAGGAAATGTGTTGCTAGATCGGAGCGGCACGTGTCGGTCATGCGCACGTGCAGGCTAATATGGGCGCCTTCAAATTGGGCGCTTCTACTCACTACTAACTTTTATACAATATTTAGAAGCGGAGTTGCATCGCGCGCCATTTTTGCAGTCACAGTCAGTGAACTAAAAATTACTGAAGCGCCACAAACGCGTCACGCAGCGCTTCCACAAGCTTCTAAATTGAAGGCACCCAGGTGAAGTTTCAGTTATGGAAGTGGCATCTTGGTGCCCACCATCAGGATACCAAGACACCAAGATAGTTATTAAGGGTAGACTTCACTATTAACACTGGTTTGTCACTTAACTTCACTTCAATGGCCGCAACGAGGTAAAGGCTTTTCCGCCACAAAAGATCTACTCCCCCATGCAGTCTATCGCTCAGCATTCCCATCGCTGTGTTAATCGACGAAGCACCCATGCTGCCAAAATCTTCGTCGATTAGTCACGAGATCTGTTAAGTCACTCGGCAATAGCCACGTTTCCTGAATAGTTACGTTACGTAGGGTAAATCGACTATGTTCTAGTATACTCAGTGCTCAAGTGACAGTTTTTGATCTAGATTAGAACCATCCATTACATTTGATTCGCATCTTCAATACTCCTTGGTCGAAAATGAATAAATCGCCTAAGTGAAATGCTATCGGGACATAAATTATCATCCGAAAACAATTTGTGGAAGGCACACTAATTTATACGAATTGTGGGTTGTAATGTCCATTCGTTAAAAGCAAAAAACATGGTGCGCGTGTCGCTTCCGCTCGGACCACCCGATACGAAATGCATAATGTTTTTTCGTTCTTAATATAAAGATCTTAAAGTTTCTGACCGGCTTAACGCTCGCCTGTGCACGCTGCCCACCAGGTTTATTTTTCATAAATCAGTATGTGCAGCTGTCTACTCGCAGTGAAACGTCGACCCTACAGATGGGTCATATGAATTAAAATAACGCACACATAATAATAAAGCACACACTCAACAATGGTGTGTCACTGTGCTGTTTTCATACAAAAGTCTTAGCTGAGTGTACTTACTTAAACATCTCTTCTGCTTAAGTAACACGGTATGGTCGATTCTAGTATTATTATTTCTATTGTATTACATAATCTTAAGCCCACATTACATTTTTGCTGTTTAGCACAGACATGGCTACACAGTTTTATTACTAAAATAAAGAAAAAGGACAGATCGAACAGTTATTTCAATATACATACTTTTTTCTTTATACGAAATACAGTCCACAACAATTTTCAGTTATCCATTGGACCTCGACATTTGTCGCAAATTAAATGCGGGAGAAATATTTACAATAATTTGAATGGAAACTGAACCAATTAAGTACTTGATCTGTGACTGTACCGTGTTACATCACTATTTAAATCACTTTATATCTTTATGCGCACAGCTATTTTTGTACGTAGCGCATATTATTATAATATTAATAATAAAGTCAAGGAGCTCTATTATTTAAAATAAACTATTACTTGTGGATAAAATATACGTCTATAAACAGGTTTATACACCGAAGTTACTTTCTCGCATTAAATTAACTTATCGACGATAATAAGGCAGGTTGATATTTTACTTAGAATGATGTCATCCTTTATTTTTATTTTATAAAATTAATAATCATTTCTGTCCGACTGATTGGCTGATGTGTGTCCTGAATTGCATCAGATACAATTAAATAGATTTAGGTATTCAAAGATCATTTCTGATCACTGAATATCTAAATTTGATAATTATCTTTAGATATTATTTAAAGCCTTTGATTCCTTTCGATTTCCTAAAAATATTTGTCTTGTTTTGTTTGTACTCACAGAATAATTGTACAGCATACCTTACAGAAGTTACAAAGCTGTAAAGAGGATGAAACTCCAGCACACCATCGATAACGTCGCCCATTACTCTCGTGTTGTGTTTTGGAAGCCATAATATATCTACGACTTGCGGGGCCATCACACCTGCCCGAGATAAATATAAAATTATAGTCCAACGAAACTATTAGGGGCAAACAAGAGGGTTAACTTGGAAGATACAAAGTTTCCATTTAACTTTGTTGATAATACTCTGCTTGACCCAATACCTATACTGTTGTTGTAAGATACATGACAATTTGTCACATAAGATAATAAATACTAACCATTTTTATATTATTATACGTATTGACACGTGGCTACAAATACGATCATATTATTCTCGTCTAATGTACAGGGTCAAGAGCACGTCAAGCTTTACACTTAAGATTTAAATCCAACTCTATGCCGCTTACGATAAGAACGGTCCAAATTACAAAGTGTCAAGCTTGATGTGCTCTTGACTGTACTAGTCTCGTGAACATAGAGAGCCAACATACTTATTGACGCTTAAGCCGATTAAACCGGTCTGAAAAAGCTTTACGTCCAAGCAATAAGGGCAAAAAAGACAGAAGGTACTCGACACAGGCGAAACGGACAGCACCTTTTTCGCTCTTATGATATGGGCATAAAGATTTCTGGCAGACTAAAACAGATCCCGCGTCTATAAGCCTGGTAATTCTCACAGCCACGGTACAGATATTAAAAACGCGAGTTAAATAGTTAGTTTCGCAACATTACTAGAAGCAACCATACTTACCGAACAGTACATTGAAAAAGAAAAGAGTGACAAATCCAACGCCCGGTCCATTAAATAAATACGAACATATATAAACGAACGGCAACATGCTGGCTCCGTACACCGTCATGAGAATAAGTACGCGAGCTAGAACAGGGTACAACGAGAACACAAATAATATATTTTTTATTGGTTCCGGCACTTACGCGCAGTCTCGAACTCTACCGCAGTTGGTAGAGTTGAAAACTACTGAAAATAGCAGTAATTAACCTATCATACTAAACTTTTTCGTGTTTTTCAGGGTCTGAAAAATTATCAAGAACCTAAATTAATCATAGATCTGAAAGTTTCATTCGTTCTTTTCAGAGCTATATTCGCTAACTTTGTCATTTTTATTAACGAATCTACGTGGAACACTTTTCTATGTTGAACTATTTACTCACATATTTGCCTGAATGTAGAAATTCCAATGACTTTAAAAAGGGCACACGAGATCAGAATAGGGATGTTGACGAGCTCGAACCACACCCAATCGAAGACAAAAGCGCTACCCCACATGACGACGGGACTTAGTCCAGCTGCTTTTTGGAGCAATTTAGCTCGAGTTGTACGTTCCTATTACAAAGTAAACTCAATTAAGTTCCAAAAAAACAGTTATGAACATTGGTGGGTTTGGGTGCTTCGGTTAAACTATGACTTCGAATAAATACCTTACCGATCAGTCGTCAACATTATTTTAGCTAACTTTAGATAAGCATAATGTTGCCACAAGTTCTTACATATTTTTTTCAAAAATCGCTTGCAGTAACGTTTTTGGTTTCTAAAAGCGCATACAAAATAAACCCAAAAATTAATTTTGACTTGGGATACCTGCTTTTCTACTGCGTAATTGAATGTTACGTTATCAGACAGTGACCACATTAATTAACGCGGTATCGGTTTGAGCCAGTCAGAAAAGGCTGCACGGCCTTCTCGCCAGTGCGAAACAGACTTTCTTTGGTCTTTTTTGCTCTTGTTAGAATAGAATTGGAAAAGTTTATTAGTAAGTAAACGGATTGATCAAATTTTGAAAAGGAGACGTGCTCGTTTCTGCGATTCAGCAGGGAGTGACAACTGAACGAAACAAAATGAGAATGATGAAGCAAAGGAATTAAAGAATGATTCTTTGAAAACAAGTGACCAGGAACCAGAGAAAAGGTGATAAAAAGGCGGGATGACGATGTAAAGAGGTCACAACGCATTGACTTACAAATAAATGGACGACGGGTCTAATACAAAAACCACGAAAAAATGTCCCAAGTCAACCTATTTAAACGTAGTGACATGTAAAGGAATATGAAAAAGCTAAAACGTTGAATTTAAATT